AAATTACAGGAGGCCATTCGATACACGTCTCTGAAATGAAAAAATAACTTGAACTTCGTGTCCTTAGCAGGATTCGAACCCGCGGCTTCCTGCAAACTAACTGGGAGTACAGTAATATTCACTACACCATCGGGGCACCCAGGCTGGATATGTGGCAACTTAGTGATGTGAGTAGATCGAGCCTAGCCAACCCAAAGGACATTTTTCTTTAGAGACATCTGGGTGGTTTAATTCTTTTCATCTTGTTGAAACAAAATGATATGTTTTAAAGCCTGCAATTATCTATCAACATTGTAAGTCTATATTCCCAGTTGACTTTCGAAGGAATAATTGGATCCTCATACGCCAGTGACATCGCCATAGATAACGTGACGGTTACTGAGGGAAACTGTTCAGGTAAGACGAAGCATACTAAGACGGATTCCGCTCAAAGTTCGAGCGATAAGAGCAAAAAATATTTACTACGGGAGGCAGCGTGGCCGGGTAGTCAGCGTGTCGGACTCGCAATCCAGCGGTCCCGGGTGCGAGTCCCGCTCTGACCACTACCTGGATTTGTTTCTCGGTAGCCCCGAGTAGCCACCCTTTTAAATAGCTAACTGGTTTGCCTCCGGCCAGTTGGGATTCTTAACAATTTTATGTTCAATTTAAATTATTTGTTTCAGTTGTTTGCTCGGCCCCACTAGCACTTGTGCTATAAATTCTGCGGAATTCATCTTAAAGTGGTACAATGTAGAAAATCGCATCTTTCCGATGTCAGCCATTTTCAAACATAAAAAAGTAGCCTGTACGAGAAGAAAAACGCTGTTTACTATTTTCAAATATCTCTTTTCGTTCCGGAGATATTCCAGTTTTCAAAATATGCAAAATAAAGTGATGACATCATAAACTCAATCGAGTTTTGATCAAATATGATGACAAAGATATCTCAGGCAATTTGTATCAGAAATGTTTGATTCTTTGCAGTAAGATCCTACTAAAGGTGCTCCACAATATGAGCTTAACATTTTTGTTACTATGGCAACACACTGGGTTCCAGACTTCCCCAATATTAAAGGCTTTCCTGGCCACCTTTAGCGCTACCTATTGATATTTGTCAATGGTGCCTCATCTGTCGAGTTCCTGGCCTTGTGTAATGTTCTTCGAGCTGAAAATCACTAAAATATTGAAATCAGATTGGAGGAGCCCGGAAAAGAGTGGGTTGCCATGGTAACAGAATTTGACAGCCATAGGTGTGTTGCATGTAGAACTAGTAGTCTGCCAAGTTTCAATAAATTCAGCTTCAAATTGACCGAGATAGCGCTATTTATATACTCGATGTAATATTTGGTTGATTACATGACGTCATCAGTTATCTCATTTGCATATTTTACACATTTTTAAAACTTAAATATCTCCCGAACCAATGCAGGTATTTGCAAAACGGCGTTTTAATCTTTCACGGAATTTTATGTAATAAGCCTAAAAATTCAAGGCGTAATAATTTGATCATAGTACCACTTTAAGAACAATGACCCTGTGAGATCAATTGACTGTATTGCCAACCCTGAATGATAATCGCACTAATCGATATAAAAACAAAGAAGACGTCTAGGACAGTATAGATCTAAGCTTTCACTTAAATTTTGAAGGTTATTTACATTTCTATGATTTTCCATTTATAAGTACGCTGAGCAGTTTTAATCATGAAAAACTCAAGCCACATTGTCATCCTCTTGCAAATAACATTAAAGCCACTGTCGCTTTAACAAGGTTTCGGGTGCTTCTCCTTTCCCACCCCTTTCTCTTTTTCCTATATGTATTTGATTGGAATTATGATTTGCCATGGTCCGTCAGGTTCCTCTTTGATTGGCCATATTGTTGACTTTGGGTTTTGTTTAAATTTAACAATGACAGCAGTGTTCGCTGACCGACTATTTGATTACGGTTGTGAATAAATCTATTTCCACTTTAGTTAGTACATCTTGCGACTTCGACAGTGGACTCTGTGGTGGCTGGCAACAGTCTTACTCAGATGTCTTTGACTGGAAACTAAACACGGGATCAACCTGGTCTTATCACACAGGTCCAGATTACGATCATACCAGTGGGTTTGGTAAGAGAAATATCATCCACTTCATTTAATTGTTGTTGTTCGTTTGTTTTAATTTCCAGCAATACAAATTTATAATTTATATTTGGGCTTTATTTCTTTGTTTTTAGGAAATATTTTGAACAAGTATTTGTTATGCTTCAGGTAGGGGAATTAATTTTTTTTTATGGTCACAGGATACTACATGTATATAGAGACGTCCTCTCCTCGGGTCGAGGGTGATAACGCAAAGCTTGAGATTTCTGTATCGGGAAATGGAGAACTCTCTTGTCTCAAGTTCTATTACCACATGTATGGAAACACTATGGGCACTCTGAATGTCTTCAGCGGAAGTGCGGTAGTTTTCAACGCATCAGGAGACCATGGAAACCACTGGATAAAGGCGGAAAGAACCATTCAATTGGATAGCATGGTAAGTTTCAATCGGTAGATATATGATTTACCTGGCAAATTACGCAATACTTCAGCCTTTCCCTTTCATATTATTAATGGAAAACAATATGCGTCTTTGATAGCTCAGCCTTGAGCAACGTGTAGCACGTTCAATTTCTCGGGCTATTCGTATACAGACGTACAGCTATATAGAAAAATCTATACTAATGAGACAATAACACACGAAACTCAAACGCAAACATAAAAAGAGAAAGATAGAGACAAGGGCCGACGGTCAGTAGTAAAATACATTTCTTCGCTTGTCCTAAATACATAACTTAGCTAGACAATTCTTCGTTCTTAAGGACATAATTTCTGTTTTGCCTGAGATTACAAATGGAATATTTCACTTCTCATTCATCTTTAATTCATCTAGGTGACATTTGAAGGAATAGTAGGATCCTCATATATGGGTGACATAGCGATCGATGATGTCTCGATTAGCAATGGAAGCTGCCAGGGGCACACTGTATCTCCAACCTTTTCCACAACATCAACCTTGACGCTTTTAGTGACGTCAGATCTATCGACATCTACTCCTTCCACTAAAAAGTCTTCGTTGTCTACAGAGCCATTGAAATTTAGTCCTTCCTCCACTAAGGAGCCTTCGTTGGCTTCCGAGCCATCGACAGTTAGTCCTTCAACTAAAAAGACTTCGTTGTCTTCCAAGTCATTGACAGTTAGTCCTTCCTCCACTAAAGAGTCTTCGTTGGCTTCCGAGCGATCGACAGTTAGTCCTTCAACTAAAAAGCCTTCGTTGTCCTCCAAGTCATTGACATTTAGGCCTTCCACCACTAAAGTGTCTTCGTTGTCTTCAGAGCCATCGACATTTAGGCCTTCCACCAGTAAAGTGTCTTCGTTGCCTTCAGAGCCATCGACATTTAGGCCTTCCTCTAAAGAGCCTTCATTGTCTACAGAACCATCCACTTTTAGGCCTTCACTTTCGGGAAGTTCATCTACTACAAAAGCACCCCTGTCTTCGTCTGTCTTACTAGGTATTGTTCATTTGTCATCCTTTTTTTATTATTATTCAGTTAAAAACCGACCAAAAGCTACGCCTCTATTAGTTTGGCTTCTTTTCAAGTTCCTTGTCCGCAATCCACCCGGCTCATATCCATTGCTTCTGTATCCATTTGGATGGTGTTTTTGTGGCTGTTTTTCATAGTTGTTCTCTGCGTTGTGATACGGCGTTTATCCCAGATGGTAAGAGAATTACTTAAGTTATTACAAAATACTCATTAACGGAACATTCATTTATCTGCAATTTCCCCTTGTTTGATATTTTTTGGGGATTTTGCAATGGCCTTTCTTGGTTCTGGGGAAAGGAGATGAAATGACCTTTATACCGAATATCTACATGTACTACATGTGTACAAATCACTACATTATTTCAGTTTTAGCGTTTTTTATGCCCTTATGGTTTAGTACTGCCGTTTGAACTACTTATTTTCTCGGCTGCACCCTCACACAATCAATATTTTCCTATTCCAGGTACTTCCACATCCTCCATTGCTCCTCCAACAATATCAACAAAACAAATACAAGAGACAGTCATGTTGGAAATTCGAGACCTAGATATCAAAAAGGTACTTTCTCAGTTATCATTGTTTTCTTACTATTTTGTTGAACAAAAGGGAGTAATAGAAGGCAACTGATAAATCACTGACCAAAACAGGGAAGTTTCTTAAATTTATTGAAAAAGATTGGAGCAAGCATTCTTCGAATAAAATACTCATTTTAGCTTTTTTGACTTGGAAAAGTTTAGGGCTTCTGCATTATGCAGCTCAGCGGCTCCAATTAAGCGATCGTCTCTATATGTAAACCAGCAGATTAAAAACGTTACGACGATGACCCCGTGGCTATCTTGTCGGACACTGGTGTCAAAAGAAGGTCGGGATTGAAACTTCACTATTTTTTGGCAAGACATTATTATTTATCTCGCCTTTCTGCCACCTTGTTAATATCATCATATCAGAGAATGGGTAGAACATCTAAAATGTTCACGAGTGAGTTAGACGATCTCGGTTAATATTTCTTTAGTATCTCTATTATTGAATTGTTACTCTGACTCGTAATTTCGGTTTCCTTTCCAAATCAATTAACTCAAACCATTTCGAAGTTGAATTTGAAGACAGGCCAGTCTAATCTTGTTAATGTGACATTTCTTCTTTGGTTTTCTTTTCCTGTTCTTAATTAGTGGAATGACCAAATGGAAAGTGACTTTAAAAGAGAAGTTGCAAGGGCAGCGACAGATTACTGTGCCGTTGACGAAACACGATGTGGATCCACTCCATCAAGGTAAAAAGCCAACTACGAAACACGTGAATAAAAAAAATCACAACATGCAACAATCACTAAACAGTGCGAAATTCTGAAGTATATCTGCAGTACAAATTTGAAAGTAATTTTTGCGACCTCCATTATTTTCTCTCGAGAAACGGTCCAAGCCAGACAAGCAGAAAATTCAACCAACAAAAATCAGCTCAGTGCTTGTGTTTGGCCGTTGATGAGTTATGTTAATTTATGATCTTGACTTATGATCGTACTACACTCTTTCACGATATCTTCTGCCGATTTTACGCTGAAAATATTCTCGTGAACAGACTATAAATTGTGTAAGTCGATGATTTGACTGGTTTGAGTAATTTTCCTTACAAATTCATTTTCTCCGCGCGCAATAATAAAAATCATACCACAATCTACCAATCGAACAAGCCCTTATACTCACTTTTCATGCCGACGTAATTCGGGTCATGCCCAACGGCACACAGGGCAGGAACAAAGGACCTCCGCAGCTGTCTGTACCCGGCCACCATTTGGATGGAGCTCCAGCTGTGGCCGAATGAAGCCTCTCATCTCTGTCTCTATAGTGCGTCGCCATGTATTTTTGGGTCTTCCCCGCTTGCGCCTACCCTCCGGTGTCAAGTCTTGGAAACAGATTCTCTTTCCCTCCTGATGACATGACCTATTCATCATCGTCTCTGCATAATGATGGTACCCATCCTCTCTCGTTCGCACTCTATAAGCAGATCCTTGTTAGAAATGGTCTAACGCCAGGAAATGCAAAGAATAGAAAATATAAATACAAAATATAAATGATTTAATAATTATTTTAAAATAGGTTGAGGAGGAAGCTGTAGTATAGTTCCACAGCTGTTTCAATAATTATGCCTTGATTGAATTTTCAGATTAACTTGAACATATTTTGCGCTAAATCTTTTGTTTTTATATAATCATTTACACTGTATTTTTTCTACCTTTTTCAGTTCCCGGCGAAAGCGGTCTTCCGACAAAATGATATTTACCAGCGATAGGATTCACATTCTTCCTGGTTATCCAAAGGAATCGATAGATGATCCTTCAGTGACCTTGTTAGCTCTTTATTTACAATTTCCTGAAGAATTCTCAGATGATATCATTGACAAAGACGTCCTAAAAGCCATCGTGGAAAGTAATGAACAGAGTATTGGAGGATCAGTGGGCGGTACCATCTCCAGTGTCCAGCCTTTAGCCTCCACTACAGAAACCACAGAAGAAAGTGACGAGGAACCAAAATCAAAGAATGCCATTATTATAGGCCTTTGCGTGGGTGGTGTGATATTGGTCGTTATTCTCGTCGCTATTTTCTTGCATTTCAAGAGAAGAAAAAGGTAAGAGATTAAGCTTGAACAAGTTGCATCCAATTGCCTAAATCCAAACTGAAACTAATTGAAACAATAACTATATTTATTATGTAAAAGTTAATGGTATACCGAGTGGTAACACATTGATAAAAAACGATTTGACATCCTCACATAACATATATTCTTTGTCCCTTTAACCACCCTTAAATTTGTTGGTGTACGATCGACACATCTTCAGATCTTCTTCGGAAGTATTCAGCAATTCTCGGTTGTCTTCTGTAATCTTCGGAAAATGTTCGGAAATCTTCAGAAAATGTTCGAAAGCGTTCGTCTGACCTTGGGACAAATTTTGGAAAATCTTTGAAAATCTTCGGAAAGTGGTCAGAAATCTTCGGAAAATCGCCACAAATGTGGTTATACATTGTTAATATTTTAGATAATAAAAAGAAATTTACATGGTCGCTTGAAGATACGAAATTCATCTTCGAGTGTTGAAAAATATTTCAAGAGTGAGGGCAGCGAACGAGTGAAATAATTTTCAGTACGGGGAGATAATTTTCGTAACTCCGCTCGACCATGGAATATCCTCTATAACTTGTCTTACCTCTGACTAATATATATATAATAGATATAATATATTACTGAGTTTATACTTTTCTGTATTTAATAGTTAGGAAGTAGAATAACCAACTGTGCGTGTTGATCTGTTATAATTATTACGGTGCGTATCGTTTGTGACAAGTTGTGGCTTCCGTCCTGCAAATGAATTTTGTTTCGAAATATAGCGCCCTTTCCAAAAAAAAATAAACAGAGGCAGAAAATAACAGCTTCATAGCGTACAGAAGTCAGATGGTNATCACCCAACTAGTGGACTAATGCAAATCCTGCATTTTGATTGGCTACGCTACTAGAAGACTATTAGTAATAGTCCTCGAGTAGCGAAATTGGCGCAATCGAGCGTCTTTCGTTTTATTCCCAAATAAATATTTCTTCAACTTGCATTTGTTAACTTTATTATTGCCTTTTCTGTCCGACTAGCTGGGTGATACTAAAAAAATTAGACCCTTCGCCCTTGCGGGCCACGGGTCTCATTGTTAATTAATATTTTACGTTATAAAAACAAAATTACATGGTCGCTTGAAAATACGAAATTTATCTTTGAGTGTTAAAAAATATTTCACGAGTGAGGGCAGCGAACGAGTGAAATAATTTTCAGTATGGACGATCTCCGCTCGACCATGGAATATCCTCTATAAGTTGTCTTACGTCTTACTAAATACTTAATATATTACCGAGTTTATACTTTTCTGTATTTAATAGTTAGGAAGTAGAATAACCAACCGTGCGTGTTGGTCTGTTATAATTATTACAGTGCGTATCGTTCGTGACAAACTGTGGCTTCCGTCCTGCAAATAAATTTTCTTTCGAGATATAGCGCCCTTTCCATAAAAATAAACAGGGGAGAAAATAACTGCTTCATAGCGTACAGAAGTCAGATGGTTGGGATTTCCCCACTCGTGTGCTCTTTTCTAAGTTAAAATAATTCTGACACTACATGCTCCAACACACACGTGACAATGTACAGCTGTTGTTTCATATTTTGATCCTTTCAGATGTTGCTCGATTTAATTTAGGGAGCGAGGGCGAAGGTGACAATGACAAGGTGNAAGTTAAAATAATTCTGACACTACATGCTCCAACACACACGTGACAATGTACAGCTGTTGTTTTGTATTTTGATCCTTTCAGATGTTTCTCGATTTAATTAAGGGAGCGAGGGCGGAGGTGATAATGGCAAGGTGATGGCATGGGGGAGAAGACTAAAAAGGCGTCCTTTTTTCCAAAGAAGTCCACAGTCGTTCAATTTTTGTGACTGGATGCGCAGCGTTCTACGACCTAGGCAGCTTACTAAGAACATTTTAATTACGGAAATCTAAATTCAAAATTTGAACTAGAACATCTGAAATAGATGAGGAGTCGTAAGCCTGAACATTTTTTCAATGAAGGACGCTATCAGCACTGCCAAAGATTGTCTGTAAAAGGAAGTTTACAAGTTTCAAATAAATTTCAATCAAAAAGTTAGAATTTATTTTCATTTATCTACAGAAGTGCAAATTTGTCGCGCTCAACGTCAGAATGGCATGAGGTGTGGTCACTCCATTGTATGTTTCTTAAAAACAAGGCAATGATATGACTGACAGAAAATATTATAGTAATAAAACTTGTTAAGACAATGGAAGAGGTTTGAATATTTACTTTGAACGATAATCATCCCAGTCAATGTTACGTTAACAGATCAGTCAGCAGATTAGCCTACTGCACTGATCATCGTTGAGGGGTTTTTTTTTGTGTGTGTGTGTGCCCTGAGTGTAAAGGCGATAATAGCAAAGTGTATGGTTGTTCGTTTGTTAATATACCTATTTTTTCCCTAGATCATACACCGCAAAGAACCAGGCGGAGAATGGTTATAACAACGTTTACTTCAACGATGCTTATTGTACCAGTTTTGGAGAGCAAACCATCGAAACGAAGGGTGGTGATCAAGCTTTTTCATCTGGTAATGCGTCTGAAGCAAACCTCGGGGAGCACTACTACGCGGCAGTCAATGACCTAGCAGTAAAGAACACTAAGGATGTTGCTGCACCTACTTACGAAACACTCAACAGTGGTGTTAAAGTTGATGCATCTATCGACCAAAACCTCAACAGTGATCTTAAGTCACAAGAAATCCGAGCGGAGAAGACCAGTGGGGGAGTTGCGGCACCTGTCTACCAACCACCCACCAATGGAGATGCTGCATCCATCTGCCAAACAGTCAACAGTGAGCCTGCATCATTAGAAGCCTAGGTTGAGAAGAGTAAGGGAGACGTTACCAAGTCTACCGCGGGTTAACTAACCCAATAGCGGTGATTCAAAAGATCGGAACTGAAAAAAAAATCAACTGTAAATACAAATAGCAATGTAATTGGTCATAAAAGATCCCAGCCCACACTGAAGTGAGTTGTTTTACTTTGCCTTTTGAGAAAAAGGAACGATAAGGTCGGTACAATTTTTTTTCTTTCTCTATAATTGTACATGTGAGAACCAAATTTTCGAAGTCCATAAAATCGAGGTTGTTCTAAAATTTGTTCACGGCAACTGCAATAAAATTTTCCGAAAATTGGTTTCTCACTTCAGGTAGGCTGTGATATTCACTATTTTTATACTGTTTAAGTGATTTTATGGCACGTAGAGTTACTATCCAGTAACATATCTTCAATTTAAAGAGCCTACATGTATAAGGCTTTGTTCGTCTTAAGGAAGATTCGCTCGAACCGGAAGGAGAAGTAAATGAGAGGCGGCCATACCCGGTTTCAGACGTGGCTTCTAGAGCCATATACCCGTTTTTAAACTTGGTCTCTAATCCGCATCCCTTCTTTCACTTGCCAGTACGTTTTCAGACCTGGCGTCTAATGCTATTTCCATCTTTAGACCTGGCTTCAAAAGCCATATCTGTCTCTGTTTCCACGCGCGTATGCGCACATCATGAAAACGTTCTATTTGCATGAAGTTACCTTTACCAGCGTTGTTCGGCTGCTAAGCTAGGTTGATATGAGTTTTAAAACCAGCTGTTTTACGACCACGGTGTTCCTTAAAGAGGAGCATATTTAATGTTTTCATACTATGTTTTCTCTTCACTAAATACAGCTTCTGCTCAGATTGTGGAAACATCGATCACCAACAGTAGTTATTTTTAGCACAGTCTTGACCCGAGCAATCCCACTGGACTAACTATTGATGTACTCCTGGATTCAAACAAATACTAAGTTAGAAACACCGATACAATCGAATACTTATAGTTACTGGTTATAGCTTGAGGGGAAGTATTTTATTTCATCAATAACAGGCATTTTTTATGATATATGTAGAAGCTTGTTAATTTGCCATTAATTGCACAATTTTGTAACTGTACCCTATCTCTCTTTTCGATGGGTACCGAAGCTACGTAGATTTTATAATTTCTACACATTTTTTTTTATGATAGCTTTTATACTTAAATTTTGTAAGTCTTAGGATGGACTGACTTGCTGACTGACTAAACTGACTAACTGACTGACTGACTGAATGACTGAATGACTGAATGACTGAATGACTGAATGACTGAATGACTGAATGACTGAATGACTGAAAGACTGAAAGACTGACTGAATGACTGAAAGACTGACTGAATGAATGAATGATTGACTAACTGAATGACTGATTAACTAACGGAAGGACGAACAGCCGGAATTAACGGAATGACAGACCGACTAACAGCTGATTCAATGACTGACCTAATGACTGACGAACAGATGGGCAGCCGGAACGGTCCGACCGACTACCTGAATGACTAACAAGGCCCCAACTTCACCTTTATATCATATATAAGTACTCTCCCAGTGCTGTTAAAGTGTAACGTGTAAATTACTGTTTGCAGCTCTAGCCGGAAGATTATCTGGATTAATCTTCAATAAAATGTACTTTTATAACGGCTCTAACGATCTGATAGTTAACTCGTATACACTGAGATCACGGGTAAAATTAGTTCAGGTAATCAAATGGTGACGAGTAATATTAGGAAATAGTTTCACGCGCGTTTTGTCAAAATTCTAAAACGCAAGTGACATTATTTCTTAATTTCACGAGCATACCATTTCATTACCATTTATTGTTTATTAATATATTGCTCACGACGAGCATACTGTGCTTTGATCAATTTCAGTTAAAATACACATGTCATAAGCCACGCAAGTATTTTCAAAGTATTCTTTTCACATGACACACACGTATTTCCTTTGAAAAGGTCATGATGGCAAGCTATATATAAAAATCTACATATAAAAATCAAGCACTCCTTGCAATGGTCCTTTCAAATACTTATAACAGGGTGCCAGGATTATTTGCACTGGGTTTAGCTGGAACACGTGTAACCGTGGAACTGCTAACAAATATTCTGTCACTGGTTTAGGGTAAAGATGCGTGCGACTTTATTAAGAGTCACTGACTGGAAATATGGAGAATGGCTGGCCTGGTTCGAAACTAAACCTTTACCTGAAGAACGCTTTTAGGGAACTACTTTCAAAACTATTGTTCCGATTTTCTAAGAATTTAAAGTTGTGGAGAAATTCGTAAAAAAAAAAACAAAAATACAGCTCTTTGTGCCATTAAATATGCAAAAAAAAAATATCTGGAAAATTGACAAAATTCTTGGTACTCGCATTGAAACAGGTTACAAAACTAGAACACGGGATAAACTTAACATGAGAGTTTTACCTTTCTTCTATCTAACAATAGGAAATTTTACATTTTTCAAACATTTTGAAGGGTTCCGTCGACTGTCGAAGAATTGCCTTTTCAAGTCGCTATGAAAGTGGCAAAAATTG